TCAACATTCTTAATCCTAGTATTATTAAGTCGTGTTGAGTATCATCAAAAACTAAGATATAAAATTAAGGTCTGAAAAGAAATTCTAAATGAAATAAAATAAAATTTTGAGATGTGGTTATTGTCGTCTAAACTAAAATGTTAGACCAGAAACAGTGGTGTTTTGAAAATTATAAACTGCTCTGGTATTCCCAATTTATGGGAGATTACTTCCAATTTTTATTAATATCGTAATCATTTCAAAGCAACGGATCACGTTAAGATTAGCCTCCCTAGCTTATTTCACATAAAGATTAGCCATCTTAACGGAAACCTAGCCTAACCTAAACTACTCTAGCCTAACCTAAACTAACCAAACCTTACTTAACTCCCCCTGGAGGCGTTTGGGCGTTTTAATGATAAGATGAATTAAGTTGGTGAGGCTAATCTTCATGTGATCCTAGACAAACAAATCTCATATTTAGTATGATTTTAAGTCACAAGTCTTCGTCGCCATGTTCCAGTGGCTTCATCAAGTTCAATTTGGCACTCTATATCTCGTACAAATAAATGAGTCGTATATCTCCATGATGTAAGACGGTCTTTGGTACCATGGAGCTGCAGCCTCGTTCATTATTAGGTGAGGAAACTTGCCAAAAGTGTCGCGGTAAACAAAAAGTTGACTTTGCTGTATCTGCTCCTGTAATTCTATTTGTAATTTTCCATATATGTACTTTTGTACTTTTATTTGTATCGATGCCTTTACTTGAAACTGAAACTGTAGTGTATCTATATCGTCACTTTTGGGTATACGACATTCTTGTCATCTCCTGGACAAGGGCTCAGATGTTCAGATATACTGTACTCACGGACTCTCACTCACTTTTATTTATATAGTTGAACCCTACATGTGTGTGTGTGTGTGTCCCTCCTAGACTGTTGTTTTATCACCATTTCTTTGTTTTAGTAACCTCTCTCTCTCTCTCTCTCTCTCTCTTACTCACAATAAAAGGTCGTGGGTTGATAGGCTAGAATCTAGACTGTCAAGTTGTCAAGGCCATGACAGTCACACGCACAAAACGTCAATACGGCAATTTTCCTGAAAACCTGTGATAGTGGGTGGGGAGGGTGATGGTGGGAGGAGAGGGTGATGGTGGGAGGAGAGGGTGATGGTGGGGAGGAGAGGGTGATGGTGGGAGGAGAGGGTGATGGTGGGAAGGGAGGGTCGTGGTGGAAGGGAGGGTCGTGGTGGAAGGGAGGTGGGGAGGGTCGTGGTGGAAGGGAGGGTGATGGTGGGGAGGAGAGGGTGATGGTGGGAGGAGGGTGGAAGGGAGGGTGGTGGAAGGAGGGTGTGTGATGGGAGGAGAGGGTGATGGGGGAGGAGAGGGGTGATGGGGAGGAGGAGGGTTGGGGGAAGGAGGGTGATGGTGGGGAGGAGGGTGGGGAAGGGAGGAAGGGAGGGTGATGGTGGGAGGAGAGGGTGATGGTGGGAAGGGAGGGTCGTGGTGGAAGGGAGGGTCGTGGTGGAAGGGGAGAGTGATGGTGGGAAGGGAGGGTCGTGGTGGAAGGGAGGGTGGTGGTGGAAGGGGAGAGTGATGGTGGGAGGGGAAGGTAATGGTAGGAAGGGTGATGATGGGAGGAGAGGGTGATGGTGGGAGGGGAGAGCGATAGTGAGAATGGGAGAGCGACGGTGAGAGTGGGAGAGCGATGGTGAGAGTGGGAGAGCGATGGTGAGAGGAGAGAATGAGGGTGAGAGGCTGATGCGTTGTCGCTGCTTGTCTGTACGAACCCATGTGTGTGTGTGTGTGTGTGTGTGTGTGAAGGTTTCTCCCATGTACCTCCACAATCTTGAATCGTAAATATTCCCCGGTCATTCAACGGCAAAACTAACCTAACCTAACCTAACCAGTATCATCTACATATTTGGCAGTTGGTCTTCTGGGTCTCCTCTTGTGCTGTGGGATGTAGTGGGGGATCTTTTTCTTTTGTCCACTCGTGATGTTTTCTTGTAATATATTTGTCCACTGTCTATTTAGTCCACTTGATATTGATATTCTTACATGCCAGCTTCATCATTTATTATCTAAAATGTCTCACTAGAGGTACTGAGAGGGGACCCCACCTCCCCCACACACACCCCTGGTTCAATGTTACCGGTCAGGATGAAACTTGTATTACCTGACACAATGATTAATAACACTCAAATTACATCCCAATCAAGTAGCAATCGAATTCAGGTACTAGTGGTGTTAGGCAAAAGTTCTGGCTGCCTCAGTATACCACTAACTCCCAGCAAAATCACAATAGGCAGCAATCAGCACTAAATTCTCCTCGCCTCCAGCAGTTTCAGTAGGCTAATGGTTGTTCCTCTTCAGTAGCTTACAGTAAGAGATAACATTGGTGTGTTTCTGCTACTTTAAATACACAGCCAAATTTCAGCCTTGTGTGGCGGTGGGCGGTCTGTAATGCGTCGCCTCAGACACAAAATTCACGTGTATGCGGGTCTGTTGGTGTGTGTCCTGATTGGTTCCCTGTTGGTCAGTGACATCAGTGGCCCTCTTGCTGTTAGAGTTAATAAAGTATAAGTTAGGTTAGGTTAGGTTAGGTAGACGTAAGTTGATTTGTTTCTTATATGTGTCTATTTCTGTACATAAGTGTGTGTGTGTGTGTGTGTGTGTGTGTGTGTCATAGGGCTCTGTTGTATACCTTGGCCAGTTACCTTCAAACTTTTATGTTTCAATTGTTACCTGAAAGTGTCTTGTTTGGGGATGAGAAAGTTCAAGTGTCAAAGGTCACTAAGAATGTAAAATTGACTTAAACTTGGTCACGATCCAGAGTTATCAAGCGATCGTGGTAGAAGTATACTTGATAACTTATGATGTTTCTTTTGTGTTTTAGTTTAAGCCAACCAGTTTGGTGTATTTTTACAAAGTAATTTACGAGCCGGAGTCTGGATCACCTGAAGATCAGACACCCCAGGTTTTTCTCATGATCAACCACCCTGACGCTACCTAGGTTATGGTAGGCTGGGTTAAGTCATTTATTTCTATAGTGGTTAATTTTTACGTGAAATAAGTTGGGGTGTCTAATCTTCAGGTGGTCCGTTTTCCTTACCGTTGCTGGGTTTTTAAGGTATGGTTTCTGAGTGAATTCGGCGTCATTTTGACTTGCATCTTTATTTCATACTCAAGTGAGTTAGTTGTATACATTCTCACTTCACCAGTTTGAAAGAAAAAAAAACGAAGGTACCTGGGATCTTAAGCTTTTGACTTGTGTGTGTGTAGGGGGGGGGGTGACTCCGTTTACAGTACTTCACGTCCTTCTGTTTGTTGTCTCTTTGCCTTTTATTCTACCAGTCTCTATTTGTCTCATAAATAAATACATAGATATTTATTTGAGTAAAATGGCCAATCACGTTCACATTGGTTCATCAGACAGTGACAGTGAGGGTACACAATTAAAAGCGCTCTATATATTTTGCCATTGCTCCGACACTCTCTGCCTGACGGATATAAAATATAGAACAGAGAAGGCAAAATATTCTCCAGCAAGGAATGTATATTGTTTCATCGTGGAAAAAAATATAAATAAAAGTATGTGGAGAATTTCAGACAACAGAAGGAGGGTACGCCGTCCATGATAAAAAACGGGTAACACTAGACATGATAAAAAACGGAGCGGATTAGTGGAAAGTAAAGGGGAGACTCAGTATTTTTTGACGTACTCTGCTTTTTGTGGCGTTGTTGCAGTTTTAGCTCTTAAAAATATATTAAAGGATCACTCGCACATTTATACATAAAACTAGGAGGAATTTTGTTATTAAATTTGCTTATTACTTTACTTATATGTATACATTAATTAATTACTTATTTATTAAACTATATAATGAAAACTAAAATCAGTCTATATATTTTTCATATTCAGTGTACAGTACTTTCTGTCTCCGAATCTCTGTACCGTTTCATCAATTCTGTTAACTTTTCTATCAGTATACATGCCTATTTTTATGTTTATATATTTTTATCAACCATCCTTTTGTCTGTCTCTAGTACAACAACACAGAACAAACGATATTTTTGACAAAGATAATGGTATTTTTTTTAGGTTCGCTGGCGTGCATTTTTTTTAAATAACTATTACGAGTGACACACGTGAACCTAAAATTGAAAGCCTTGTTGTAAATTTAATCTGTTAAGTTATATATGTATTCAGTTATCTTGCTATTATTTCAAGCATTTTGTAATCACAATGCAGAGTGGCAGGACACACACACACATCCCCCCCCTCCTCTCTCTCTCTCATTTTTTGTCATTCGTGTATTCTCTTTATTTATCAATTTTCCATCCGTCTATCTATCTATCTATTTGTGTACGTGTATGGAAATTTTATAGTAAAAGGCGCAGCCAGATAGGAAGTATAAGTGATGGCGATTTAAATCATTGATATTGTTGTTAAATGCTAAATCAGATCTTCCTCACGTTAATAATTGCAATATGTGCAGTTGGCTATATTGTTCTATATGACCAGCTGCCAACCATGGAGGCTCTATTACCATCCATCGAGGTTCTATATTATCAACCAGGTTCAATAGTCTATATTACCAATCGTGTTTTAGATTTTGGGTTAGTTGTCTTTCTACTCTCAACACTTAACTTTCTATTTTATTTTGGTTTAATAAAAACTATATAAACAGTTCTAAAATTGGTGTGGATGTTGTTCAGTGGCATGATGTTGCTCCTCCTGTCTTTCTAACACTCTTGTGATGATTCCCGCACTTTTTTCTAGCCGTTTTGTTATTTTTTCTGTTGTATTTCATGTCACTTTTGCATCACGGGAATTCTAGATGTTGGCTGTCTCGAGCTCCAGGGAGATGTACTCCCGTGTGTAAATCCCCTTAAAGGGAGAGAAATTGCTGGGGGTAACCCCTTAGAGAGGGGGACATGTGAGAGTGGGTTGAGCGAGTGCAACAACAGCAGCAGCCAGCAACGGGTCGACCAGACACACACACACACACACATCCCTCACGTGGGCTCAGACGCGTGGCTGACCTGGTAGAGAGAGGACCCGCTTCCCGCTGCTCTCCCACACGCTCACTCACTCTCATACTCTCCCTCCTTCTCTCCAGCTGCTTCTGTCGCTGCTCTGGAGGGCGAGAACCACCTCCCCGGAGGCCAACTACGGTACCACATCGCCTGTTTATGTGATTGGAGGACAACCACCATCAGGGACTGGAGGGGCCCTCAAATATAAGACAGAAGTCGACCCTCTGGAAGATAACTAGACAGCCACTTCACAGATCTGTGTTATGTGACGACTTAGGACACTATATTCTGATCTACGTGTTATGGCGCCGCTATGATGATAACAGTTATCATGAACTGGAGAAAAGATAAAGACAACAGGAACGTCATTCTCTAAGAGAAGCCGACAGCCACAGTAGACCAGCTCAGACAGGACTGCCCAGGAATGCGTCTTGTTGCCGCTTGTTTGAGATAACAATTATCCGGAAGTGGGGAGAAAGATAACAACTCACAAAGCCCTCATTGGCGACTGGTTACTTGTGGGTTTCATTCATAAACTGGGAGTGTGTGTGGTAGTACGCGCGGGTTGTGTTTATACAGCTGGGTGCTGCGTCAACAACAACAAGAACAGCTGGTGCACGTGTTGTACTAGTGTATTTCTACAGCTGGCTGACTGGGTTCGCAAAGGAAGAACAGCTGACCCACGTGTTGTGTATTTCAACAGCTGACTAGCCTGGTCGTCACAACAATATTAACTGAGTCACATGTTGTGGTAGTGTGTTGCTCTGCTCTGTACTTCCCGCCAGTGAAGACGGAGACTAGAGAAGTGTTCACATCTCGGCTCTTAACTTTTTCCGTGTGACTTGTGATGGAAGCTTTGTGCACTCTGATTCATATATAAGTATGGTGCCACCCTAGATGACAGTGAAACAAAAAGTATCTTAAATTCACCCAAACGCTTTACTTGATTTCTAAAAGTGACGAAACAGGAAGATAATGTTCAGAAGTGTGCTTGTGTGAGAACTGTCCTCTTGAACTGTTATTGTTTGTGTCGTCCAGATCACCAAGTGAACAAGATCCACTTCTCTTACTAAACACAAAGACAGAAAGATTGTCAGGGTGCACACGTCAACTGTCCTCGTGTCCAGTGATCCAGGTCTTGGTGCTTTAAGTTAACAATGGTGCACAAGATATTCTCAGAGCTCCGGCCTCACCACCGTAGCTACACCATCCTACACGACCACGACCCCCTGCCTGATAAGGTAAGTTGTCACTTTCTGCTACCACCTCTACTACCACTATCACGACTTCTTGTTATCACCACTACCACGACCCCTTGTTATCACCACTACCACGACCCCTTGTTATCACCATTACCACGACCCCTTAGTACCATCACTACCACGACCCCTGCTTGACAAGGTACAGTGTGACTCACTGCTACCACCACCACCATTACCCCCATCTCGTCTGTCGCACCACTAGGACCACCACTACTACCACCACGACCCCCTGCCTGACGAGGTTAGTTGTGAGTCACTGCTACCACTACTACCACTGACCTCCTACCAATGCCATACCATGAATCTACTTCTGCTACCTCTACCACTTTGAGATCATAACTACCATTACTCCACCACTACTTCCACATCAGCATGACCTTACCAACACCTCCTTAATAACAATGCCACCCTCACCACACACCTCCACCACATCACACTATCACTACACTACCACACCACCACACACCTCATCACACTAACACCACTTCACACTATCACCACCACCACACACCACCACACCACCACACCACACCACACCACCACACCACACCACCACCATGCCTTCCAAATTGAGTTTCCTCAACTTCAACTTAGGAAGTCGAATCGAGTTACTCAGCCATCCATTTTACTTTGTCGAACCTCAGACCAAGGTGGCCTTTCTCTTCCTCTCTTATCCTATCCTCTCTTTCTTCCTCTCCTCCGTTGTCTTCCTCTTCTTTTCTCCATTTCTCCTCAGTTGCTTTTTGCTTTTTCTTCCTCATCTTCTTTTCTCTTACTTAATTCCTCTTCTTCATCCTCTTCCCTTCTTCCTATCCTCCTCCTCGTCTTCTTCATCCCTTTCTTCTTGTTTCCCATTCTTTGTCTTTCGTTTTTTTATTTTCTTCTCTTTGTTTCATTCCTCGTCTTCCTTTTCTCTTTTTTTTTATCCTTCACTTCTTTTTTTTCCATTTCTTCATGTCCCCGGTGTCTTCTTCTTCTTCTTCTTATCTTCCTCCTGTGCTTCTTCTCCTTCCTTTTCTTCCTCTTTCCTATTTCTAATCATCTCGGTGTTGTCCTAAACGTTCAGTTCTGGGTCCGAATTCCCAAATGTTCGCAAATTAAACTTTTTCACTTAACAGAACGCATCTAATCATGGCCGAGTCTCACGTTCATATTGACACCATTTCTCCCTAATTCTCTCCTCTTAATTAGGGATTAAAGAGACTGCATCTGTTTACGGTAGAGCCTCAGTGTATTTTTGTTTACGGTAGCCTCAGTGTATTTTTGTTTAAGCCATACTTGTGTTTTCCTTTAGTGTCTAGTAGAATGCTGGAACCGAGTCTGTAAATGGGGAAAAATGGTGAAATATAGGTAACTTATTCACTGTCTTGGATTTCAATGGGTTTAAAAGAAATAATTTATAGCTGCAAATAAGACTAACTAACCTAATTTAACCAACCTAACCTGACCTAATGATCTTGAGCTTAATTTTTTGAGTGAGTTAGGCTGGGCGAGGCTGGTTCATCTCTCTGCAGACATAAATGATTTATCTTGTGGCCTCCTTCTGCCTTCCTCCTCCTCCTCCTTCCTCCTCTTCTTCATCCTCCTCCTTCCAGGGATTTCAAGATCGCGCACCAAATTCCGTGATGGCGTGCAATGAGACCATGAGACTTTGAGGCCTTTTGTGTGTGTGTGTGTGTGTGTGTGTGTGTGTGTTAAAATGTAAATTTTCACCTCTTGTGGCGTCACACATCACTGGTGTGTATTAAAAGATGTGTATACCTGTGTGTAGTCATGACCCCCCCCCCCCCCCACACACACAGAGGCAGTAACAGGGTCCACCAGGCACCAGTACGTGATGCTCCAGCCTGTTACTGTCTCTACATGTTGCACTATAACACAACCCACGCGTTTACGGGCATGGAGTGTACTCATCGGTCCTTGTCCAGATTGATACCCGGTGATTGGTATACTTATCCACCATGACGTCCTCTGATTAGTCTTCATTAACTGCGACGCACTCTGATTGGCCAAAATGAAACGAAGTCCAATTAGCACAAAGCAGACCCTCATACGCGTGGGTTTTATCAAATAGCCGGTGCATGTCCTGTTATCTGTTGTTAATGATGTTATCGCACCTGTCTTAATTCCCTCTTATATAAATGTGGTGTTTCCGGGTCACGTAAGAACTAGATATGTTATCTCTCTGTATCTATGAATTGCATTCCTCTCTCTCTCCAGGATGTAACAAGAGTAACAGACAGTTCAGTAAATGGCGTATGAAAGCTCTTGACACTAATACCTTGCACCATTAAGCCATTACTCAGCACCATAGTTGTGAGTTAACACCTTGAGTACATAAAATCCTGAGTACCATATTATCGTACTCAAGCGTTTAGGTCGTCGTATTCAGATGGTTATATCGTATTCAATAGGTGAAGTTATCGTACTCAGTGGTTAAAGTGGTTGTACTCTAGGGATTAAGTCATCGTACTCTTGGGGATAAAATATCGTACTTTAGAGACTGTCATCGTACTCATGGGGTTAAGTCATTGTATTCAAGTGGGATTAAGAGAGCTTAATCAATATACATATACATTGTACTCAGGGGCATTGACATCGTACTCAAGGGATCAGTTAACAAGCTACACCGTTACGTACTCAAGACATCTATCGCTATGTACTCTAGGGGTCAGTTAACATGCTACACCGTTACGTACTCAAGAGGTCAGTTAACATGCTACACCGTTACGTACTCAAGACATCTATCGCTATGTACTCAAGAGGTCAGTTAACATGCTACACCGTTACGTACTCAAGACATCTATCGCTATGTACTCAAGAGGTCAGTTAACATGCTACACCGTTACGTACTCAAGACATCTATCGCTATGTACTCAAGAGGTCAGTTAACATGCTACACCGTTACGTACTCAAGAGGTCAGTTAACATGCTACACCGTGACGTACTCAAGACATCTATCGCTATGTACTCAAGGGTTGCGTGTTGGGGGCGAGGCGTAGGTGACGGGCGATAATAACAGCGATGAATAAATGGGTAAATATTATATGTGAGTCGTGACGGAAATACCAGTCAGTTTCAACCGGGAAGCCATTACTAGGAGCCGTCATTATTGTGTTAACGCGTGTCATGAACTAGTTACTTGGGGAAGGTATTTGGGCTCTCTCTCTCTCTCTCTCTCTCACACACAGTTAATTAGTAAGTGTCAAGGTGGTGTTAACTGGTCGATGCCTTCAACACAGATCGTTACTGTAACCTCTACCTGTTAACTATGTTGTGAGGAATGTGAGAAGCACACACACACACACACACACACACACACACACACACACACACACACACACACACATACAAGAGACAGAGTTAGGAGAGGCGAATAGAGACAGGGAGGAAAGAGAGACACAGACTTGAGAGGGAGAGAGAAAGAAAAACAAACAAGCTGACAGAGAGACAGATTGATGTAGATAGATAGAGAGAAAGACAGAGAGTGAGAGAGAGAGAGAGAGAGAGAGAGAGAGAGAGAGAGAGAGAGAGACAGAGAGAGAGAGAGAGAGGGGGGGGGGAGAGGTTCCTAAGCCATTACAGGTCTACCAGTAATACCTGAACCTATTAGAATGGGATTTTGTCCATTGGAAATTGTCCCGAGGTATTATGTCCATTGAGTTTTGTCCAGTGTTTTTTCTTTCCATTGGTATTATGCTCAGTGGGGGTATTACAATGGTATTTTCTCCAGTGGGATTCTATCTAATGGTATTTTATCCAATTATGTTTTGTCCAATGGAGTTTCATCTACTGGTATTTCGTCCAATGGTATTTCATCTAATGACATTTTATCCAATGGTGTTTTGTCCAATGGAATTTCATCTATTGGTATTTCGTCCAATGAGATTTTATCCAATGGTATTTTATCCAATCGTGTTTTGTCCAATGGAGTTTCAACTGGTATTTTGTCCGATGATATTTTGTCCGACGCACCATGCAGCTTGAAAAGAGAATATCACCTGGGTAGTGTTGTGGAGTCGACAATAGACGTCTTAAGACTGTCTTCTTATCGTAAGTCTTAATGGGGAGATAAGATTATTTTTATTACGTGTGTGGGAGGGGGGTGGAGGGAGGGGGGTGAGAGAGGAGAGAAGGTGGGAGGGAGGGGAGTGGAGGGAAGGAGGAAGAGGGAGTGGAGGGAAGGATATTGGGTAGGATGAGAGAGGAGAGAAGGAGTGGAGGGAGGAGGAAGAGGAGTGGAGGGGAAGGATATTGGGTAGGATGAGGGGGAGTGGAGGGAAGGAGGTCGAGGGAGTGGAGGGAAGGAGATTGGGTAGGATGAGAGAGGAGAGAAGGTGGAAGGAAAAGAGAAAGGGAGAGTGAAGGAAAGGAAGGAGGGAGGGAGAGATGAAGTAGGTACTGCTGTAGACGTAGAGAGATATATAGTAGTAAAGAGAAAAATAAATAAATAAAATGACAGATAGAGTGAGTTCTTGCCTGGTATTTTTCTGTCTCGCTTCATGACAGAATACGTCAGTTACCCTATGAATCATCCCACTCTCTCTCTCTCTCTCTCTCTCTCTCTCTCTCTCTCCCAGTGTAATTTTGACTCCATTTCGAGAACTTTGTGTCGTAGCTACAGTGAGTCAGTCAGATACCTTCTCACGTCACCAGTTAGGAGGAGAATTTAACTTACGAAATATCTGAAACTCTTGACTCTACTTTATCGCCTTTATTCTGGTGTTGCTGTTAGTCTGCTACTGATGTCTTCCTCCTCCTCCTTCCTCCTCCTCCCTCCTCCTCCTCCCTCCTCCTCCTCCTCCTCCTCCTCCTCCTCCTCCTCCTCCTTCCCCTCCTCCTCCCTCCTCCTCCTCCTCCCTCCTCCTCCTCCTCCCCCTCCTCCTCCTCCTCTTCCTCCTCCTCCCTCCTCCTCCTCCTCTTCTTCTTCTCCACCTTCCTCCCCCACAGTTTCCCTTAGTGTCCTTCTACACCTGCTG